CAAATATTTAAGAATAAATCTAACCCAGATGTGCTAGAGTACTACACAAAAATTATAAAACATCACTCAGAGAAATTCAAGACTGCAGTAGATGGAGAAAAATATTCTTTCCATGCATTGGAAGACTTTTTTTCTTTTTCTTTTTTTTTTTTTTTTTGGTGACGGAGCCTCGCTCTGTCGCCCAGGCTGGAGTGGAATGGCACCGTCTCTGCTCACTGCAAACTCTACCTCCTGGGTTCAAGCGATTCTCCTGCTTCAGCCTCCCAAGTAGCTGAGATTACAGGCGCCTGCCATGACGCCTGGCTAATTTTTGTATTTTTAGTACAGACGGGGTTTCGCTATGTTAGCCATACTGGTCTCGAACTCCTGACCTCAAGTGATCCATTCGACTCGGCCTCGCAAAGTGCTGGGATTACAGGCATGAGCCACCGCCCCCAGCCGGAAGACATTATTAAGAGACATTATTGTCAAGTCTCTCAGAATGATCATAGCAATCATATTTAAAATTCCACCATGTTAACAAAAGTTTTTCTGGAAATTGACGAGCAGATCATTTTTTAAGTACATGCAAATTAAAGATTTGGAAAAGCCAAGTTTTTTTAAGTCAAGGAAAAGACAAAGTTTTTTTAAGAAAAAGAACTGGCTAGGTGCAGTGGCTCATGCCTGTAATCCCAGCACTTTGGGAGGCCGAGGCGGGCGGATCACAAGGTCAGGAGATCCTGGCTAACATGATGAAACCCCATCTCCACTGAAAATACGAAACATTACTTGGGCATGGTGGCGGGCACCTATAGTCCCAGCTACTCAGGAGGCTGAGGCAGGAGAATGGCATGAACACAGGAGGCAAAGCTTGCAGTGAGCCAAGATTACGCCACTGTACTCCAGCCTGGGCGACAGGGCGGGACTCTGTCTCAAACAAACAAACAAACAACAACAACAACAACAACAAAAAGAACTAAGTTAGTAGAAATGCACTACTATATATGAAATTTACCATAAAGGTAGAGTAATTAAAACAGTATGGTATCAGAGCAATGACAGGCAAATACCAAAGGGAAGAGGACACAGAGGTCAGAAACAATCTGGCAATACAAAATACAGAAGAGCTGTAAATCACTGTGGAAAGGACAGTGCTTTTAATAAATGCACTTGATAAATGCAGGGAAAATACAAACCTTGACTCTTACCTCTTCCTACTCCACAGAACTTTGTTAAAGATGGGTAGACAATCTAGTAAACACTTAAGATATTGTCTTCACAACTATAGAATAGGCAAAGATGTTTTTAATGAGGATAAACAAGCACTAACCATAAAGAATGAATTCTTTAATTAGACATAATTAAATGGAAAACTTCCATTCCTCAAAGACACTATTAAGATACTGAAAACCAAAGCATGTTTATAGATTATATATTATGTGTTATATAGTATAGGTTATATATAAAAATATATATTAATTACACACACATACACATATATATCTGGCAACAAATGAGTGGAATCCAGAATATATCCAGAACTACAAATCAATTTCTAAAAAACAAACATCCCAATAAAATTTGGGGGGAAAAGCTGAAGATTCACTTCATAAGAGTCATACTCAAATGGCTAATAAGCACATCAAATATATCTGGTCTCTGACTTTACTCCATTCCATGAGAATTTATTTCAGATGATTGGGAGATCTAGAAGAAAACTTAGAATATTATCATCATGAGTGTAAATTAGTTTAACCATTGTGGAAGACAGCGTGGTGATTCCTCAAGGATCTAGAACCAGAAATACCATCTGACCCAGCAATCCCATCACTGGGTATACACCCAAAGGATTTTAAATCATTCGACTATAAAGACACATGCACACGTATGTTTATTATAGCACTATTCACAACAG